CACATCAAAAAACTAACAAACAAATTTCCAAATCATTTTGCAATATACCTGAATCCTTTCTAAATTATGAAAACAAATACATTTATTTCAGTAAAAGTCATAACTGATCAACTTGATAATCAATTGTTACAATATTCACAGCAAAGCTGCAAACTAAACAATGGATAGAACACTGTCATTAACTGTCCCCATACCTCCACTACACTACCATTAACTGTCCCCTCATCTCTACTACACTGCCATTAACTGTCCCCATTCCTCTACTACACTGTCATTAACTGTCCCCACACCTCTACTACACTGTCATTAACTGTCCCCACACCTCTACTACACTGTCATTAACTGTCCCCATACCTCCACTACACTACCATTAACTGTCCCCACACCTCTACTACACCGCCATTAACTGTCCCCACACCTCTACTATACTGTCATCAACTGTCCCCATACCTCCACTACACTACCATTAACTGTCCCCACACCTCTACTACACTGCCATTAACTGTCCCCACACCCCTACTATACTGTCATTAACTGTCCCCATACCTCCACTACACTGCCATTAACTGTCCCCACACCTCTACTATACTGTCATTAACTGTCGCCAGAGCTCCACTACACTACCATTAACTGTCCCCTCATCTATACTACTCTGCCATTAACTGTCCCCACACCTCTACTACACTGTCATTAACTGTCCCTACACCTCCACTACACTGCCATTAACTGTCCCCTCATCTCTACTACACTGCCATTAACTGTCCCCTCATCTATACTATACTGTCATTAACTGTCCCCACACCTCTACTACACTGTCATTAACTGTCCCCACACCTCCACTTCACTGTCAATACTGTCCCCATACCTCTACTATACTGTCATTAACTGTCCCCATACCTCTACTATACTATCATTAACTGTCCCCATACCTCTACTACACTGTCATTAACTGTCCCCATACATCTACTATACTGTCATTACTGTCCCCATACCTCTGCTATACTGTTAATACTGTCCCAATACCTCTACTATACTATCATTAACTGTCCCCCCCCTCTACTACACTGTAATTAACTGTCACCACACCTCTACTACCATGTCATTAACTGTCCCTAACCTCTACTACACTGTTATTAACTGTCCCCACACCTCCACTACACTGTCAATACTGACCCCATACCTCTACTATTCTGTCATTAACTGTCACCACACCTCTACTACCCTGTCATTAACTGTCCCCCTACCTCTACTATACTCTCATGAAATAACTGTACCCATACCTCTACTATTCTGGCATTAACTGTCCCCATACCTCTACTATACTGTTAATACTGTCCCCATACCTCTACTACACTGTCATTAACTGTCCCTCACCTCTACTACACTGTCATTAACTGTCCCCATACCTCTACTATACTGTCATTAACTGTCCCTCACCTCTACTACACTGTAATTAACTGTCCCCATACCTCTACTATACTGTCATTAAATAACTGTCCCCATACCTCTACTTCTTTTTGTTTTTTATTACCAGTATATATGTCACAATTGTGCCCACAACTTCAGTACACTATACTTCTCCCAAATGAAATGCTACTGTGTGAAAGGGAAATATAAATACACAGGTCATGATTCTAAAGGAATTCCTGTGAACAGACAAGAAAAGAGACCTGGTTTGATGGATGACAAGTGATCCAGTCTCTCCCATTCCGCGGCCTGTGAGTGCTATTTAACAGTAGGTCTAGCTTATAAATCATTCCTTACATTTCTACATCACACAGTCATAATAATACAGTGTATAGCAATACAACTTACCTGTATATATATATATATATAGGTATATTGTTTTGAAGGAAATCATATGGGGATTAATAGTTTTGTTTGAAAAGTTCTTTTTAATGAAAGAGATTGCCTATCTTACGACAAGTTTTGATTAGTAATACAATTCTATTATCTGTCTATCAAAATTGCATGCCTGAGCAATATTGATCCAAGTCCTAAAGAGATATAAATGTGGTGTATCCAGACAGGTGTGTTTAGTCACCTGTATCCCATTGTCTCAGCTTCCATCAGATGAGGCAGTGTAAACAGGTAGAACTCATCAGTATCCCTTAAAATCCTAACATGTAACTTTGCAAGATGAGCTGAACATTTTGTAGTTAAATAATTAAAACTTTCTTCAAGTACAAGTTCCTCTGCTTAGTTGTACAGTCAGTGAAATTTAAAATACAATTAACTGAAATTATCTCTTTTAATTGACAGATGCCAAGTTATGTGTTTATAAACCTGTGTATCAATATTTTCATGGTAAACTGTCTTGTTGATTATATATATCTGCAAGATTATAATCTGACTTAGGAGGTAGCATATTTAATCAACTTAAAAAATATATATTGAAAAGTGACTTAATAGTTGTAGTTTTAACCCAAGGGATTTCCCCGTACCCATAGCCCCCCTAAAGTGCCACTATACATATCTCAACATCTCCTCAACAAAGTCCAAGGTTCCTACTACCTGGGTATACAAGCAAGTGTCACAGCAGTTCATTATCTGCTCATCACCTATTTAAACGCAGACAAAAATGGCTTGAGATTTGATCTGTTGCAACCTTTACTTACCTTAATTATTACTCAACGGCCAAGATTACTTCAATCAATCTACACCCTTATATGGATCTGTCTATTAAACTTTAGCCCTTATACAGATATGCCAACTAAAAACAGGGTCCTTATAGACTTACAGAGCTATCATTTTAGGGAGAAAAACTCATATTCCCTAGCCTATATCCTTGCCTTATGCACATGTCTTAAACTAGATGCATAAAATGGATTACAGATCCTCACAAAATGTTATTAACAATATTCAAACATTCAAAACTAATTAACAGAATACCATATTCTAGTTGTGAGAACTGTGTGATGCTTGCATAATACATTATATATATTATAACATTTTTTATCAAGACAAATTTCAAAATCTGGGGTATACATATTTAGTTTTACTTAAAATTCAATTCTTCTTGATAATGATTTTGCCTTGCATGCCCCTTTTAGGAAATCATGGATTTTTGTTATAACTGGTTGGTTCTCACAAAATAGTCTAAATATTATTCTTCAATTTTTCTATATATACTTAATATAATGTTAACTTATGATACAGCCCTGGTAACTGTTAGTAATCTATATAAAGATAACTACAAATGTGTCAAATTGTAATCTGTACTATCAAAATCAGGAATATTTTAGATTAAACTACTCATAACTTACATACTTGCCAACCCTCCCTATTTAGGAGGGAGACTCTCGATTTTTTACCCTTAAATTTAATGTTTGCAACTAGTGAATTTGCTGAACTGTTCCTATATTCTAAAATCTAATGATTTCATCTGAAAGAACAACTCAAACTATGTCGTTTTAAAGGGTTATTTTGTCTCTAGGGGTTATATATGCTCATTTTATTGATGATAATTTTTAGCATGCAGATTCTCCCCATTCGGAAATTCATAGACTTTCCATAACAAATGGATTGGATGAGAACCAATATATTATCTGTCGTTTTACATGATAGGTATTATGTTGTCAATATCTGGGTTCCTACAGATCATACTGTCTCCCACACAGCCATTGTAGACCAGCACTATATACATGATGTGATAAACAGATTAATCATCCAATCTGTCCTTGGATCAAACCATAATATGCCTCTTTTTACAGAATTTCTGTGTGAAAAACCTGGTCTAGTTACACTGAATGTGGTACATTGTATTGTGTGGATTTGTTGATAGGCTTGTCGCTTTATATATCAAGGTGTTCTAAAACCCACAAATCCTAAAACTTCCGATTTATATCTCAGCACTTGTTTGCTAACTTAACAAGGACAAATCTATTTTCTTACACTGAAATAACTATGTTTAAAATATACAGATAATTATATCACACAAAGCAAATCTGCATTATTTATTGAATATAATATCAATTTATGGAAGAACTCCTTTAAAGGTAGGGATTATAATTAGTACAAATCAAACCCTACAGTAATAGGTTTGACATATGTCTAGATATTATTATGAAAGACCAAACACATTTAAATTGCATACATTATTCAATTATGTAACACAACATAAACTGATATCATTGGCTAAATGTATTACAAATATTTAAGAGATAATTAATTTATAATACTAATGTCCATCCTGTTCCACCATGTATTATCGTCACCCGTTTGTATATATGTATTCTCTACACTGTATTGTTTATGAGAATAAAACAATTGTCATTGTCATTGACATTCTGTGATAGTTACCAAGCATTTCCTTTTTTATATGTTAACTTTTCAAATACAGTTTTCCAGTCAATATGAAATAATTATTTTTATTTTTTCATAGAGTAATTTCTTAAAAATATTATTTTTATCATGGATATTCATTTTACTTACGGGATAATTCTAAAGTATTTCTACATAGTGGTGTACATCTGCTATAAATAGTGGTGTACTATCACCTATAGGACACCTACCCATGGTCAACCTTATCAAGGCATCAACCCACAAGGTACATTACGAGATAATAAACAAATATTGACATTTCCAACTAAGTGTGTTGAATGGATAGAAGTAAATCTCAACAATCAAATTCACTGGCAAATCACCGATTTGATAAAACCATCGACTGTATGTAAATAATTTTATCATTACAAGGGCTGGAGTCATCGTTTTGGTGAAATTTACTTACAACAACGCAAGAAATCTGGGTGTTTACACCTGGGTGTCAGAGGGTTAAGGTACTCATTGCTGTGATAAAATCGCCGATTCCTAAATCTGTACAATTATTATTTTAAGAAATTTGGACTATTGACAGCAGGTAACTAGATAAGCTCCACCCTAACTACACAGGTAAAACCATTATGTGTATCTTGTGTACATACGAAATACAGATTACAATGTATCAATTATATGGTTAATCGTTCAGCTTTGAAACCAAAAGTAAACTTATGACAACTTACCGTGGCCAGGGGCTAGGCTCCACACACAGATAAGTAACAGGTACTTCCAGTAAATCCAGTACATTGTGTTTGCTATTTGTCACTACTACACTCTGTCCGCTTATATCTAGAGATATAATACAACATTTTGTTGTGAAATATCGTCCGGGAGTTCGCTGAGAACTGTCACCGGGCGTGGGACTCGACCCTTACATGTGTTCGCACTGACTTCTGTGGGTATTCTTAATGTGAACTTAGCTTTAACCCCTTGTAGTGTTCACCACATACAACCTGTACGCATACCTGTAATCTATGTACAGGTGAAAACTTCACCGGATACTAAATCCACTATTCCACGTCTATGCCGGGTACCTAACAATCACTTAACGTATCGTCGTATGTTGATATTCACCCGACACCCGCCAAATACACGGTGAACATACAGCCGAGCGCTCTCTGTAATAACTATATTGAGGTATCTCACGTCCTGCGCAATGTCAACGCAAGTATAGACTTGTCTGCGCATAACAAAAGCACATGGCTACATGCTCCAACTGACACGGCTGTCAAACAATCACACACTGTGCTATCCAACCAGCCAATAATAGTCATATAGCAAACGTAACGACAATTTTCTGTTACCATCAATTCCAGTTTTCCCTGTACGTATATTTTTGATTGACGGATGGGCTACCGAATATGCAAATACGTGTTATTCGGTAGTGAGCAAGCTAGCTTTTATCTGATATTGATTTAGATTAAGTATAGAAAGAGGCGGAGCTTCTATAACTGTTGAGATAAATGTTCGATGGTGTTTACTGTGTCGTACCAGATAAAAACCTTTGATGTTCGAATGTTTAATACTATTTAAAATAATGTTTCCAAAGTGGTACTATAGCTGATAAGACGGATATATCCGCACTGTGCTATATTCTTAGTTGTTTTTCACTTCTGATTTTTCCTCGGTGTCGCCGGCATCCTATTACCTTTCAGTATCATTCAAAGATTTTTATTATAGTTTTGAGTTTTGTTTAATGGTCCCGCTGTGGAATCTTGATTAGCAATGAAGTATCTTTTATCGTGCACTGCTGTAGGTTGTCATCGTTAGGTCCGCAATAGTACTGGTGTAAGTGAGGTAGAGATTGAGGAGGGAATAGTACTGGTGTAAGTGAGGTAGAGATTGAGGAGGGGGTACTCGGACAAGTCATACATTACACCAGCACTCAAGCTGCTGATAATTACATGGAGAGTTTTCGTCGATAAAGCAAGCGATGTTAACCCTTCTGAAAAACATAGTCTTATAACCTTTGTACTTGTTCAAGTGTGTCCGTGTAAATATTACCTTTGTTCATATTTGGCCCTAGTTTTATCTATTCTGATCACGAGTTGTACAGGGTGTACAAAACTCGCTGTCCTCCAAAGCTGGTGCTGTTTTTGGACCTCTCCTTGTACAGGGTGTACACAACTCGCTGTCCTCTAAAGCTGGTGCTGTTTTTGGACCTCTCCTTGTACAGGGTGTACAAAACTCGCTGTCCTCCAAAGCTGGTGCTGTTTCTTATTTGGGATCCACTGTATTACAACCATAAATTATGTGCTTTGCTAGCATCTCAAATGGATTTCCCAGAGGGAGGCGTTCGCGATTCTCAATCGGCAGACTCGAGTGCGTCATGCGGTTGCTGGTCTGCGCTGGGTGTCAGACGGACATGCATTATGTACCCAGAATCTACGGAAGGACTCCACTCCTAAACTCTACAATCCAGAGCAAGCATAGCGGTTTTGCACAAGCTCATGTTTTGGTCGAACTCGAGCAGTGTCGGAATATAGTTTTCTCATGAGCAAACCACCCCTCCCCCATTTTTCACGAGATGCCCACGCGCCATTTTTCACGAGATGCCCACGCGCCATTGCTCATTGGTGTACCATTCTGTTTGCCAGCCACAGGGCAGCAAGGGTTTTGTAAGCCTCGTTTTGACCAGAGAGAAATATTGATGAAGAAAAATAGAAGACAACGAGTTTTGACCAAAGAGAATGGCTGGAGAGGGAAAACCAGTTTTGACCAAAGAGATGGAGAGGGAAAGCTAGAGGACAAAGAGTTTGACCAGAGAGAATGGCTGAAGAGGGAAAGCTAGAGGAAACGAAATTTGACCAGAGAGAATGATTGAAGAGGAAAAGCTAGCAGACATTGAGTTTTGACCAGAGAGAATGGCTGAAGAGGAAAAGCTAGAAGACAAAGGAGTTTTGACCAGAGAGAATGATGCTCGATCATTAGGCTACTAGTCGTAACCCTTAATCGCTCTGCCTTTGGGGAATTGTTTAAAAACAACTAGATATTTTAATAATATCTTTACTTTCATTAAAATTTGTTAGTTGGGAAATAAGATAAAAAAAACATTGCCTGAAGTTTGTCTAGATGTCCCTCCGGTATTGAGTCCCCACCTTGGCACTGAGTTAGTTCAGCCGAACGTCCACTAACCGAGACATGTTATGGTACTGATGTTAGGTAAGTAAACCCGTACTCTGTTTACAGACTTAACTTTGACCTGTTAATGTGTATTAGAAGCTATATGGTCCTATGGTCTATGTGTATGCATATAAATGGTACAAATCTAGTCACAAGTACCCTATAACACTGTTTGGGTAATTATTTAGGGATATCGCATTTCAAAAGGTATCGGACATTTCTTTTCGCTTCCCAAGACATAGACACCTTGACCTATTTATCTGAAAATCCCGCTAGCTTGATATAGTAAAAGTGTTACAGTTTTATCTATGTGTATTATTAGACTAACAGTTTTATTTCGATATTTAAAAAATAAAAAAAAATAAACAAGGCATAATTGAACCTCCACATTTTCATATTCATAAACAGATATCCAATTCTCATACAAGTTGAACGATTTCAAGGTAGAACAGAAAATTGGTAAAGTTAACATAACTACAGTCTAAATTGATTACCTACAGCTTCTGTATGTGTATTCAAGCGAGAATTGGGCGTGTTCGCCACCCGAGGACGCCTGGTAGTCGCTACTCGGTCCAGATCAACGCTGCAGATAGCAGCCAACATCAAACGGGCTTGCCACTTGTTGCACCCAACATCATTATGTGTGCCAATGTGACCAGTCTTTGCCGGCACCATACACACTGAACATGGAAAACTATTAAAACTATTATATTGCCACTCGAATAACATTTAATTAGTACTTAGAGTAACTGAGCTGTTTATTATTGAATAGCCCGTTACCCCAACCCGTACCTATACCGTTATACAAAGTCTGCCATTAGCCCAGAGAACTGGACACAGTTTTACGCCAATTAAAGCTACCTTCGAGATACACTAGATACACAAAGATCGAAAAGGTGATTGACAACACAAGGGAGATAACCTAAAAACAAATGTACTGTTTACCCGGTACACTACTCACATCTGTGTCAAGGTTAATGAGTGTGTCAGAGAGAGAGGGAAAGTAAAGGGGGGGGGGGGACTAATCATGTGTTGGGGAAGGAAGAGGGGGCACTAATCTCGTGTCAGGGAAGGAGGAGGGGGCACTAATCCCGTGTGAGGGAAGGAGGAGGGGCACTAATCTCGTGTCAGGGGAGGAGGAGGAGGCACTAATCTCGTGTCAGGGAAGGAGGAGGGGCACTAATCTCGTGTCAGGGGAGGAGGAGGAGGCACTAATCTCGTGAGAGGGAAGGAGGAGGGGGCACTAATCTCGTGTGGCGGAAGGAGGAGGGGGCACTAATCTCGTGTCAGGGAAGGAGGAGGGGGCACTCATCTCGTGTCAGGGAAGGAGGAGGAGAATGCACTAATCATCTGTCAGGGAAGAGGGTGGAGTACTAATCCTGTGTCAGGGAAGGAGGAGGAGGAGGCACTTATCATATTCCAGGGAAGAGGGAGGGGTACCAATCCTGTGTCAGGGAAGAGGGAGGGGCACTTATCATGTGTCAGGGAAGAGGGAGGCGTACTAATCTTGTGTCAGGGAAGAGGGAGGGGTACTCATCATGTGTCAGGAAAGAGGAGGGGCACTAATCCTGTGTCAGGGAAGGGGAGTGGCACTAATCCTATGTCAGGGGAGAGGGAGGGACACTAATCCCGTGTCAGGGGAAAGGAAGGGGCATTAATCCTGTGTCAGGTGAGGGGAGCCAGTAATCCTGTGTTAGGGGAGAGGAAGAGGAACCACTAATCCTGTGTCGGGGATGGGAACCCCTAATCCTGTGTCAGGGGAGGGAAGCCACTAATCCTGTGTCAGGGGAGAGGAAGGGAAACCACTAATTCTGCGTCAGGTGAGGGGAACCACTAATCCTGTGTCAGGTGAGGGGAGCCAGTAATCCTGTGTTAGGGGAGAGGAAGAGGAACCACTAATCCTTTGTCGGGGATGGGAACCCCTAATCCTGTGTCAGGTTAGGGGAACCACTAATTACGTGTCAGAGGAGAGGAAAGGGGATCCACTTTTCCTGCGTCAGCGGAAAGGAAAGGGAAACCACTAATCCTGTGTCAGGGGATAGGAATATGAACCACTAATCCTGTGTCAGGGGAGAAGAATATGAACCACTAATTCTGTGTCAGGGGAGAGGAATATGAACCACTAATCCTGTGTCGGGGAGGGGAACCACTAATCCTGTGTCAGGGAAGGGGTGCCAGTAATCCTGTGTCGGGGAGGGGAACCACTAATCTTGTGTCAGGTGAGGGGAACCACTAATTACGTGTCAGAGGAGAGGAAAGGGGATCCACTTTTCCTGCGTCAGCGGAAAGGAAAGGGAAACCACTAATCCTGTGTCAGGGGAGAGGAATATGAACCACTAATCCTGTGTCAGGGGAGAAGAATATGAACCACTAATTCTGTGTCAGAGGAGAGGAATAGGAACCACTTATCCTGTGTCAGGGGAGAGGAAGGAGAACCACTAACATGTGTTAGAGGAGAGGAAAGGGGAACCACTAATCCTGAGTAATGGGAGAGGAATGGGGACCGACAATCCTGTGTCAGGAGAGGAATAGGAACCACTAATCCTGTGTCAGGGGAGAGGAAAGGGGAACCACTAATCCTGTGTCAGGGGAGAGGAATAGGAACCACTAATCCTGTGTCAGGGGAGAGGAAGGGGAACCACAAATCCTGTGTCAGGGAATAGGGAAAAGATTAAGTTCTTACTGTTTTATTATGTTATAACTAATTTTGCGTAATAAGTTAGCGTTGGGAAAACGATTGTTTACTCTGCTTCCAATAATTAATTATACAGCTTCCGAAAGCTTTCTTCACATATCCAACAGTGGTACGTTGTTGAGTTATCAGTTATAGTAAATGTTGTTTTATAACTACAATCTGTAAACCATTGTGCATGTCATACTAATTCAGGGAAATACGACGTGGTGTTAAACACAGTTTATACAAAAACAATTGTGCATAAAGCAATGGACCAACCTCTGTATAATATATCACGGGTGTCAAAGTATGTCACTGTAATATATCGATGGGTGTCAAAGTATGTCACTGTAATATATCACGGGTGTCAAAGTATGTCACTGTAATATATCGATGGGTGTCACTGTGTGTCACTGTAATATATCGATGGGTGTCACTGTATGTCACTGTAATATATCTATGGG